AAAAAAAAAAAAAAAGAATATATATGCAAAACAAAACAGCAGCGAAACGAAAAAAAAACAGTAGAGATGCGGATGAGAACAAACGAAATGTCGAATTTGTTCATGCACTGCCTTCTTGATAATCGCAAATTAATGTACAACAATTAAAAATTAACACAAAGATAAAACAGGGATAAAAAACGAAACGCAAATATGAAACGAGATACAGAAAGATCGTTACCAAAATCATGTCTGCAAACTCGACCGACGTCAATCAATCATTCGCTGTTCAATCGTTGTTGATTTTCCTATATTGCTTGATTTTTTTTTTGTTATTTCATCTGAGTGACAGGTCATCTCTATTATTCTGTATGGTTTTTGATTGTTTTTGGTGCTACGAATAACAATGATCTTCGTTTGTTACATCCAATTGCAATTCATTTGAGACAATTTTACTACATGCAAAATCTGTAATCAATTCTTAAATATTAGTAATATTTAAGTAAAGGAAATTTGTATAATTCTGAAACATTGGAAAAAACTAATTATAAAAGTTGTATGAGTATTGAGATTGAAATAAGCAAGTATTTGAGTGGAAAATATGCTAGTAAAAGTGTGAGAAAAGGAAATATGTAAAGTTATGTTCTGGGGCGAAGCGTGGTAATTTACTGTCCGGTCCGTCCGTTGCGGAAAGAAAACAATGAAAAATAATTGTTATCTAACGTGCGTCGCGGCAAGCAGGTGACTTATGGAATTATATGGGAGAGCCAGGGCCCGGCCATATGGCGTGCACGTATGGAAGTATGTTTATTGTGCCTTTTTCGCTTCCTACTAGTCCATATTGTTCAGGTAGACTAGACCAGAAAAAGGGAACACTAAACTATATGCGTATGAGTGTATATGTATAAGCGCCGAGGAAGGAAAGATGATGATGATGATGTGAGTGTGAGTGCGCGGGGCGGCCGCTTCCGGTCTGCGGACATCGGAAATTTAGATCGCGACCAACGAGCGCTTCCGGTCCGTCATGCGAGCCGAGCACGCAAATATAATCTAACCTGGTACAATACTATAGCAAAGAGGAAAGGAACAAAAAAATACGTGCAACAGACTATACAGAAGGAGACGGAAACGGTGCCATATCGGGGGTGCCATACCGGTTCGCACTTAATGAATAAGAATTACGACAGAAGGGATAGTTAATAAGCGTACTAATTGTATCCGCCAATGCTTCACGCATTTGTTTCTCACACGCGAAATTATCATGTTAGACTATTTCCATCTAAGATCCCATAACACCTTCAACATCTGTCATTAGAAACAATGAAATAATTTGATGATCACATACACGTTTATGTATCTTGAAACTTATATAATTCAATTATATAATAAAATTACTATATTAAATAAAATATAATAATTAATTGAAACAATTTAAATCAAATTATTATAATTTATTTTGATGTAAACAAATATGTTGATATTATGCAATAAATATAAAGATTAATAATTAAAATGAATAAGTTTATGAAAAATGCATATTTTCTTTTAAATTGCTGCTATACTAATGGGAATCTTGTGATCTATATTTTTCCATCAATAACCGGAATAGTTTACAGCCCGAGAGCGTCAAAGGACACAAAGAGCGCAATAAATGAAGAAACCGCAAACCGAACAATAAATCCTTTGCTGACAAATTTACCTTTTAAAATAGTAAATATTATAAACAGATTAAATGGATTATGATTGTCTTCATCTCACAAAAACAGACTACGTAAAAATTCTTTCCTTATTTTGAATATTGATTCGATAAACTTTTTCTAGTTATTAATCTTCTAGTTAGTAAAATGTAAGTTTTATTAAGAAAATTGAATGTGAATTTATACAAGATTTGTAGTTTCTTGAAAATATATAAAATAATTGAATAAATTAAAATTCTCTCAAAGTTAACATTTTGTAAGATTTAGGTAAATGTTCTCACGCTGTTTCCGAAAGAATCCCCCATGCATTTTTTTTTTATTTTCTCTTTGCTCTCGGACTTTGGGTTTGAATGGAAAACGTCTTTGTGTGTTTGGGAAGAAGCGTTTCTTTACGTTCCCTAAGGTACATACCCTAAGACGCGCACCTTTTACCTGCCCTTTTCTTCCGGTATTAGTTTTAGATCGAATTCTCACATTTTACAATTTACGTTGTAGGTTTAAATAATTTATTGGCAATAATATATTTTGAATTGAAATGATTTTAAGACACGGTTAAAGCGATTAATATGAATATCCTTCTCGAACGCAATTCCGTTGAACGTTGCATTAATTGCGTCTCTATGATAGTGAGAGCGAAGTAATATAAACCTTTTGTAGGCTGAAATAGCCTGATAAGAGTCTAATTTCGTTTGATAAGACAAACAACAAATTTCAGCGACAGATGGTTATTTATGGGTGAGAATTACTCGGCCGAGTACTTGAATGTGCCATATGGCCCTAAAGACAGATAATGATTATATGGGGCCGATTACGGACAGAAATATATCTATCTCCGTGCGTCGTATGCATATGGAAAAACAGGACGATTCCACGAACGATCCTTGATATTATTAGAGGAACTGAACGAAAAGTTTCAGTTTCAATGCGGACCGACTTTTGCTGCTCTCCTAAGTAATTTAATTAATTTCCTGGACACAGAAAGAACTTTCTTTTTCTAAGTCTGATTGAAAAGAAGTGTTTGTTTCCTTTTGCAATTAAGTTTTTAAACTGTTTAAAGAGAAGTTTGTGTGTTGCATTCTAGATATTTGTATGTATTTGTAGTGCAAATAATGAATGCGTGTATGTATGTATGTATGTATGTATGTATGTATGTATGATAGGAGAGATCGCGTCGAGCAGGAGGCGAGGAGGACTCGTGCGGGGATCAACAGTTGTTCCCTCTGCATCGACCGCAGGTGTTCTTCGAGCGTGCTCGCTTCGTTCCTCCGTCTCGGTCCTTCTCCTTGCCTCGCCATCTGCCGTTCTCTCTTTCTCACCCCATCTACCTAAACAATAAAAGTAGTAGTAGTAATATAGTAGTAGTAGTGCAATAGAAATGGATGTATGCGTGTGCTAGAGAAGGATAAATGAGTCAACTCAAGTGTGGTTCCCTCATGCTTCAAATTTGGGGTTCGTTTGCAGGTATTGACATGGGCGACTATTCTTAAGTGGGGACGCAGCAGCACAGCAACTTCTGGAGGGGGAACAGAACAGACCAATAACGCTTTAACTTATGATGTCATCGGAGGAGGAGACAGAGTTCGGTTTGTACACAGATAAACTCCTGAAGAAAACCAAAAGAACTAGACAGCGCGTGGACGCCGGCGAACCGCGTAACAGTTACTCCTCGATCCCGAACTTCAGTTCGAGACCGACCTTCCTCGGCAACGGCAACAACCTGTACGGCGCAATTTTTACCCAACAGCAACAGTTCGGTCTGTTTGGACCGGGGTTTGCGCCCGCGAAGATGCTTAACGAATTACTCGGACGCCAGAAGCCTGAAAACGGCGGTGGCGGAGGTGGCGTAGGTGCCGGAGGCGGCGAAAGTGACGAAGTTAACAAGTTTGATTCAGTGATCCGCTGCGACAGCAGCCCACCTTCCGGTGATCAACTAGCACATCACATGCTGCGCGACATCCTGCAGGGCAGGAAACACGAGTTCTTGGCCCTTGAGCACGATCTCCGCAACGGGCAGGACCACATCAGCAACAACAATAATAACAACGAGCCCAAAGCAGAGTCGGACCGTAGTGACGTCGTGGATGCAGCGATGAAGGACTGCCTTGCGGAAGCTGGTGAACGACAGCAAGCAGAACTCATGGAGGAGGCACTTAACGGTATGGAGACGGAATCGTTACCCTCGCCTAAGGTGGAACCTTCGAGTCCAGCAAAACCTGAAGATGCGAAAAAAGCACGCGTTGAAAACATAGTCTCGGGTATGCGCTCGAGTCCAGCACCACCGCAGGTGAATGGCTGCAAGAAGAGGAAACTTTACCAACCACAACAGCACGACAGCACAGCCGATAGGTACATCGATGATGAAGAGGAAGAAGAACCGATCAGGCAGAAGAGGGTTGAAAAGAACGCGCTCAAATCGCAGCTGAGGACAATGCAGGAGCAGTTGGCGGAGATGCAACAGAAGTATGTACAATTGTGCACGCGGATGGATCAGGGATCCGAAGAAAGCCAGGAGGTGGAGGAAATGCCCAGTGATAGTGAACAGAGCAAGCGGTCACCACCGCCATCACCGGTGCCGACGGTGGCAACGACGCCCACTGCGTCAGCCGCAACACCAGCTACTTCCATGGTCAATCATCAACAAACCCCGACGCTGGCACAGCAGGTGAGCAAACTGAAGATTAGCCCTCCGGGCCGATCGTTCCATAACGGCCTCCACCACCCGCATCCGCACCACAACCACCATCCACATCATCTCCACCCGGAGAACCACCCGCACAACTCGATCAGCAACGCCGCCGCCGCAATGTACCTGGGCGTGAGCCACAAGCTGATGATGGAACAGGAGGCGAGGATGGCCAAGGAGGCGGCTGCCGCATCGTTAGCCGAGTCCGCCCAGATGCAGCACTCACAGATGCCACCGGGCATGGGCTGTCCGAAACCTTCAGAGCACATCTCCGAAAGACTGTCGATGATGCGCAACATGAGCACCCCCACTGGCACAGACCTGGAGGGTTTGGCGGACGTCTTAAAAACGGAGATTACCGCCTCCCTTTCGAACCTGATCGATTCCATTGTGACTCGCTTCCTGCACCAGAGGAGATGCAAGAATCATGATGCGGCTGCATCCGCAGAACAGCTCAACAAGGACCTGCTTATGGCCTCGCAGATGCTGGATAGGAAATCACCGAGGACCAAGGTGGCGGAGAGGCCGCAGGCGCCGCCGCCACCCCCATCCATCGTTGCAGCAGCGAACAATCAAATGGTAAATGGGAATGGCCCTTGCCATCCTATGATGCCGGCGCATCATATGAATAACATACAAAAACCAACAGATCTCCATATCAGGCCCCCAATGTTTCAGCCCCCGAAACCACCGGGTATTAGCCAAGCCGCCCTATACGCGATGAACCATCCGTTCTGCGTTTCCAAACAGGAGAACCCCGAGCAGAACGAAGCTCTCAGTCTGGTTGTGGCACCCAAGAAGAAGAGGCACAAGGTCACCGATACAAGGATAACACCGCGTACCGTCAGTCGCATCCTAGGTCAGGACGTTGGAGGCGGAGGCGCCGTCTCCATGGGAATGTCACCCGCCTCCATGGAAGCCAACACGTGCCCATCGCCACGCCCGCCACCGTACCACCAGCCACCTCCGATGCTGCCGGTCTCTCTGCCCACTTCGGTCGCCATCCCCAATCCGGGACTGCACGAATCTCAGGTCTTTTCACCATACAGTCCCTTCTTCCACGGACCGAGCCATGGACATCACATGGCAATGCAGGTAATTATCACTCTCATAATCATTAATTTGAAACCATCATTAACGTCATCGAAACTGCATCTAATTACATTTAAAATTCGATTCATTTTTGTAGGCATCATCTTCGCCGCCCCGCATGCACAAAATAGAGAGGGATTCGCCGCCCATCCATCATCCGCCTACGTTGCTTCATCCGGCTCTTCTCGCCGCCGCCCAACACGGAGGCTCCCCCGACTACGGACACATCCGTGGCCCAAACGGACCCAATGGCATGGACAACGGTGACCGAAACTCAGACTGCAACTCCGGAGACATCTCGTACGACGGAATGCAACCTACAATATCCTTTTTTATACAACATATATGATTACACACATACATGCTTCGCCACTAAACTTACTCAACCGATACATAAAACACGTATTTTCGCGAATATCGTATTGCAAGTTGTAAGACTTCTTAGTCTCTCCTTAGAATCGGAGGGGTTGGATCTGATAGGCCGAGGTTAAGTTAAGAGAAACCCCATCGCTGAATCTTTAATCGGCTTTACGGACCGCCGGGGGCAAATCAATTAAATTACTGGCCGTCGACCATACTTTCTCATTACGCTCTCTCTAAGATGCATTCTATTCTATTTTATTTTATTATTATTACACAAGTAGATTGAGTCGCGGACGTCGATGCCTATCATTACACTTTGAACACGACATCATACGTATATACATCATCATATACACATCATACATAGAAAACCAACTTCTAAACTGGGTGGGTTTGGAAAATCTTCTGAATAATTGAACCCGTGCGAAAGTGGCCATCTGCCACCCACGGCCTTCTTTATTTTTCTTCTTGATGTACTTTTTCTTTATTATTACATTAGTACGTTCATTTCCAACTGTATTCGAAACATTTTCCCTTAACTCCCGTGAACTCGTCAACTCTGACTCCGATGCACCTCAGGAAGGCCAAGCTGATGTTCTTCTGGGTGCGATATCCGAGCTCGGCCGTCCTCAAGATGTACTTCCCGGACATCAAATTCAACAAGAACAACACAGCTCAACTGGTCAAATGGTTCTCAAACTTCAGGTAAGCAACAAATATTTTTCAATTTTCTCTTTACATATTCTTAAGTTTTTATTCTATAAAAATCTACTATAGTCGTATTGATTTTCCGAAACCAATATTGAATTACTGAATTATCATATTTATTTAATAAACAAACAAAAAAAAATCGAAAATGAAAACACAGGATTAATGTATGATATATAAATGAAGCAAAGCCTGGCATGTAGCTTGGACTCGTGTGTACGTGTGCAGTATGTGCGGGTTTTTTTCCCGTATTTGTACCTGGGAATAGTTTAGTTTGCAAAATGCTCTTTTTGCCCCAAGCCCACATATGATGCTAACAAAGCTTTCCTGTTTCATTTGCTGTATGTTACTTGCTTTTAAATGAAAACTGCCGGAAAAGTCTTTTTATTGCCCGCTGCGTGCAACGCGGGGAGCGACCGTCAGGCGGCACCGCATCATCCCCCCAACCACCCCTTTCTCTCTCTCTTTCTCTCTTTGCTGTTCCCTCCATGAAAAAGTGCGTATGCTCAGCTAACGAACGAATGAATCAAGTCATTTCTCGTTCTTTACAAACACAATAATAAAATTGACGCCGATGTTTAAACAGATGCATCACTAAAAATAATAACAATATCTAAATACATATAAGAGAGAGAACAAGATTAGATAAACGGTCGCCCCCGCGAATATAGTAAAAACTGAAAATGTTAACGACGAAGGGGAACAAATCGATATGCGTATCTATGCAGTTCGAGTTGATATCAAATGAGGCAATAAATGAATAATTAAAATTACACACGTCGCCGACCTGGCCATAATAAGAAAATAATTAAATCCTTCCCGCGTTTACTCCGCATCCAGCCTGCTTATTTTTCTATGCATATATAGTTTTCAATGCCCGCACACATAATATGTCCGCACATAAATCCAGTTTTTAGCCACCTAATGACTAATTTAGTTAAGGGAGAGAGAGACAGAGCGAGGAAGAAAGAAGAAATGGTGATGGTTTGAGAGAGAGAGAGAGAGAGAGAAAGGGAAAAACGCTAATGAGATAAAGCGCGGGACCCTCAAGGTGGAGAAGGAAGGCAGAACGCGAAGCAAGCCACACTAATTAGTCTCAAGACCTTAATTAAGTTATTTTTAATTGAGCAGCGCACGACAAAAATCCCCGACCGGGACGTGGGAGGAGGTGGATTTCTCTCTATACACCCTCGCCTGCAGTTTCCTCGTTCCCCGTCAAGGGAGTAGAGAGTGAGAGAAAAAAGTCTTAAATAACAATCGAAACGCATTAATTATGTAACCATTAATTAGTGTTTTCTTTAAACTCGACTTAATTACGTCGCGGAACACACGCGAACGCATGCCCTCACGTTTAATGCAAATAATTTAACGTAGTTCTTTGTAATTAAGTTGCTTCCAACTCTAACCAATAGAAGCTTTGATGGTGCTCACTAGCGAGAGATAGCCGCATAAAAAGTGTGCTCATATCCAAATTCAACTTAACGTAATGATAGTAAAGCACGATTTCGTGTATCAAATTTTTGAGATAAATTGAGCGTGTGCAATACTCGGAGATGATCTGGATCATCCCCTTTGGTTGCAACAAAGCATCCAGCAGAGATAAAAAAAATAGAAAATAAAATAGAAAACTAGTATGTGAAAAACGATCGTGGAAACATTAAAGGGGGAAGCGCATAAGTGTGTGCGCGCTTTTGTCAAACACATGCTGATGTTTGAACAATACCGGGCCGCCTCTCGCTCGCTGCCTCCTGTCGCAAGGGCAGATGTTCCAACCCAATTTTATCCACCAGAAAGTTAGCACAACAACAGAATTGAACCGAAATAAAGAGCGTGTGCGTCTGCGGGAAAGAGGGAGACAGCGACAGTCGAGAGAAGGTGAATGAGAAACCCCCGGAATAAAGAAGAAAATAAAGAGAGGGACTCGAAAACCGTTACAAACCAATAACGCACCCCAATTTACGAACGCTCAATGAAAATTCGAACAAAAAAAAATATATATACGTTATTAGATTGCCATTCACTGAAAACTGAAAAAAATTGTATGTGGAGTTTCGGATTACCACAAAATCTAACAGTTAACCTGAAGCTATCACTTTTACTATTATAATAATTTAAAATTTATTTAATAAACTTATTACAAATCAGTCTCAATTAATATAATCGTAATAATAATAATCGATTTTTAAAATTTTTGTTATATAAAATAAACTATAATGTTCTTGTCCAATTGGAGTACTTCCGCGTTGTACGTTGTATTATTATCATTTTCGTGGATGGTTTATTTATTTACGAATTATTCAAGAGCATGGAAAACGCGATCAGTTCATGGTCGAATGGCCTCGCCTGGGCAAAAATACTCATCTCCACATTGTTAATTTTCCCTATTTCAACGAATCGATTGATCGCACTACTGATCTATTCTCAAAAAAAAAAAACAACGCTCCAAATCTCGAACTAACAGTGCTGATATCTGAGCAAGAAGCCCTGTTATCACGAATCTCGTAGGTTGAGTACACTACGAGTTCATCCGGTCAGGCTTACACAATCGCAAGCTACACATTTTTCCTGTTCTAACAATCTTAACTTGTTTTGTATTTTTTTTTACTGTGTATGCATATGTGTACGAAATGCGAAAGTCAACGTTTTCTCAGACCCTGTTGACTCTGTGCGAGGAACCCATAATTTTCGGGCATTGTGAGAATCAGAAGCCAAGAAATTCCCAGGGAGATTTCAATGCAAATCTCGAAAGGGGAGAAAGAGTGAGGTTCATTCGGAAAGACGACGGTTAGGCACAATGTAAATCATTTCTTGGGGTCGCGAACGCGCGCGAAAAACAGAGAAGAAAACCGTTGGTGCGGTTGGTTTCTTGGAAGGGTCGACACCAAATCGAGGAAGGGCGACTCAAGACACGTGCGGTGCTCTATGCGTCTTTGATTACTTTAAGACGTTGGGCTGCCCTTGGGGGAGATCTCATAACAATGAATGGTGACAGATGGTCGTGGTGCCTTACCTGGGAACGACCTCAGTTACACCTTTCCTTTATGTTTACCGTCTTCGGGTGCATTCCCAGAAGGCTAGAGTCGACTTCTTGAATCTAGGCGGATTCGGCTCGCGTCGACCTTCCAAGATTTATATCTTGTTACGTTACACCTGGAAGTTGCAACGGTTATAACAACATTCATGTATGATTACCCTCGATCAAAGCATCGACCTTAGAAAAAAAAACTTGATTTATTTGCTTGCAAGAATACTGTCTTAAAGATAGTATACATTTATCTTAAATATAACGTACATATCATTTGGAACAGTAAAGTTATTGCAGTGAAATTGTAAAATATAAACGTTTTGAAATTGGAGGTGTAGCGGGTGTTAATTTGCGGACTATAATCCGGGGTTGTAAAATTAATTGTTATTATTGTATGAATGCAACAGTTGATAAGTAAATAATTTACCAGTTCTAATACAGTATTAATTATGTATGGCCAATTGGCCTATAATTGGTATTTGGATACTATGACATGACACCGCACTGTTTAGTCAATATTGGATGGATAGGCATTTAGCTATTGAAAATTGCAAACACCGATTTGCCCTCTCGGATGCCGCCACCGTCCACCGCCCCCCAATCCTCGTCCCTCTCCCTCCCACCCTCGCTCGCACAATGCATTATATGACAATTAAATAATAATTACGCAACCACCGATTCGATTCGGTTCACCCACCAAAACCAAAGAAAAATCTTCCAACGATCATCGGTATAATTTCAAATCTTTTAGCTGTTTTCGTATACGCGCAAATCATGATAAGAGCGAATAGGTGAAGCGGGACCGACTCTCACCCACCTACACTTCCACGTCCTCCTCCTCATCGTCCTCCGTTCAGGGGAATTTTTTAAGTGTGAATAATAACTGAATGATTCAACGAGCTAAAGTTGACACGAATATATGGCGATACGTGTACGATCGCGTTGTGTAATTGCCACTCTGTCTATCGATGTAGACGCAATTATATGCATTGCAACTGAAATGTTAACAACGTCAAGAGAAGGAGCGAAACGAACGCGAGTGAGAAGCCCCCTTTTGCTTGCTGGATGGTGGCTGTGCAACACTTAAACAGTTGTTCTTTTTTCCGCGACTGAAAATGGGAAAATTTAAAGAGTGAAAAATACAAATTGCGGAACTCGCACACATACAGGCGCGAGAGGTTAATTAAAATGTCGCCAAACAAACACAAAGAAATCACCGTTCTTTTATTGTTGTTTTTTGTTGATGTTTACTAATGTGCGTGGTTTTATGTTATTTCCATTACAGGGAGTTCTACTACATTCAGATGGAGAAGTACGCCAGGCAAGCCGTCTCCGAGGGCGTAAAGAACGCCGACGACCTCCATGTCGGAGGCGACTCCGAACTTTACCGTGTCCTCAATCTTCACTACAACAGAAATAATCACATCGAGGTATGGGGCCCACAGGTTCGTGGTCTTTTCTCATACAAGAAAAAAACACAAACCAAATACATTTATTTTTAATCACAACATTTTTAATCATTAGTACACATAGAACAATCTTGCGATAAGTTGTTACAAGCTTTAAAATATCGAATATGTTAACACAATCAATTTAAGCTTGTATAAATTTGATCCGAGCACTAACACCAATCTGAAAACACTTATTGAAATATATAATATCATAAGATCGTCAATCGCCTAAAACAAGTAACCTGCACGTGTCTGTTTTTCTTTCTTTGTCTCTGGAATAGGTTCCTTCCAATTTCCGTTTCGTCGTTGAGCAGACGCTGCGTGAGTTTTTCAAGGCGATCCAGGAAGGCCGGGATTCCGAGCAGTCGTGGAAGAAGTCGATCTACAAGATCATCTCCAGGCTGGACGATCCAGTGCCTGAATACTTCAAATCGCCAAACTTCCTCGAGCAGCTTGAGTGACCAGTTACCAAGCACGGTAACTACCTGCCCAACGGTAACGACATCACCATCTGGTAGCTAACCTAAACCCAGCTTGGGCAACAAACAAAACTAAACTAAACACAAAAACAAAACATGATGAGAGTAAACAACAGCGACTTCAATCAACAGCGGCGTTCGACGAACACAAAAGCAACAAACGCCAATCATTAGAGTGAACAATAAATTTGTAAAAAGGGTGGGAAATTTGGAAATTTTAAAGAAACTTACGGCGAAAACCGTCGGCCGCGACCAGAGTTTGCCGCCGCCGGTTTTTCCATATATTAAATTATATATTTAAAGATGATGAAGTTAAGAAGACGCTAAAGAATTACAAATGCAACCAAAAAATAACTAATAATAATAATTTAAAAACCAACAACCAACGAATCGGTGACACGCAATCTGCGCGTTCAGTTTTCAAATTATAATATATATATAAATATTATATTATTATTAACAAGAAATGTATATTATCTAAAAGTATGCAACTTTCCTAATTACAAAAGAAGGAACAACCATCGGCTCGCCGACGTTTGTCCCTTTTTTCCGGCTAAAAACAAATTGACAATTATTATATTGGAGATGGAGTATATTTAATATATTAATATTAAACAAATCTAATTCGCCCTCTTAATATGGAGAAGTTCGTGCAAAAAAAAAAACAAATTAGAATTATATTATAAAAAAAAAAGAAGAAAATATATTGATGGTGGAGAGAAAAAAAAATAGAACGAACAGTGGAAATGTTATATACGAAAAAAGAATCAACAAATTGATTTTACCTGATCTTAAAATAATGATGTCTAATAACTATAATAACAGAGGATTATTATTATATATATATACAAATATATATGAACAATAACCGGATTTAGAATCGCTATATAAGTTATAAATTTGAAACAGACGCATATAGGTAAAACTAACAGAGCAAGTTAATAATCTGCACTTCAGTTTCAGTTAAATTCGAAAATCGAAGACGCCTAAGTTAATTGATGCGACGTGTGTTTCGTTTCTTACGTTGTTTTCAGTTTTGAAGACTTTTTTTTCCGTTACATTCCTCCGATGATGTAAACTGTAAAACTTTCTGTATATAGTAGAGATTACTTTTTATTTTATTTTTTAACTGTAAATAGTTCTTATACATACTTCTATATATATAAATATTATATATTATTAATTTAATCGTATTTAAACTAATCTAAAAAAAAAAACAATTTGGGGGAAAATCCCCTAAGATTATTATTATTTTATTTTTTTCAATTGATTTTGCTGAACCAAAGTTAAATAATTGTTCTCTTGCTAGTCCTTCGATAATTTTCTTTTTTGAATTATTATTAGTGAAGATTTTACATTAGATGCGCGTAAAGACGGACGGAGGCAGATGAAGCCGCTCTTTGCCCGGGAAATTTCAACCTTTAGAAATTTATTTATATTACGACTAGGACTAATTAATTAGTTAATAAGTGCGACAAAATTGAATCAAAAATTGTTTACTCGAAGTTTCCCGGGACGGAGAAGACGCTGAGATGATTTGTCCGTCTTTTCGCCCCATCAAGCTGCACGTTATATCAAATATAACGTGATCTATTATTATTTATTTTATTTTAATTTAATTTTTATTTTTACGTGTATATTAAGTCGGCATGTCTCATAGAATAAATTTAACAAAAAAAAAATGATTTTTTTCCTTATTATTATTATATTAATGTGTAGTTAGGCTAGTTGCTATTGTATTTATTTTGTTGTTTTATTTTTAGTTTTATGTTTTTGTTTCGATGTGGCATGCCCATTTAATATATCCATCGCGTTTTTATTATTTCTCTTTTGTTCACCAGCACTTTTTATTTTATATTTTAGTTACTATGATTAATTTTATTTTGTTTATTTTTAATTTTGCAAATTTAGCGAAAAGGAATATAGAACACTGTGTGTGAGGCAACTAGTCAAAAAAAAAGAGGAATATGAATGAAATAAATAAATGAACAAGTTTAATTCTTAATTACATCTTTGTTTTGCTTGTATTACGTTTATGTTTTTTGCTGAGTGCATTTTGCAGTTTACATTGAGCGACGAAGGGTGATGTTTTGTTCGTTTTCTATGGATTTAGTTCGGTTGTGCGCTTTGGCAAGGTTCTCGAGGTTATTCCGAATCCCATTGATTATACGTAGCTTAAAAAACGTTAAGCTATATGAAAATTGTGATTTTCCTGTTCCTAAAAGACGAAGAGAAAACGAGATTTTTATAGTGTACCGGCGATCGTCCGATTTTTCGACGCTCGCCGATTAAGATGAAGGATGGGGAGAAGATGAAATTATTGATGGTTCGGGCGCGTGCATTTGTATATCGTGGAAACTGCCGAAATTATAAGACTGCCGTTCGTTTATCGCATTTAATTTCGACTATTTTTGTTCGACCGTTACGTGTTTTCGTTGCTTTATCAAAATTGATCGTTTTGGGGTTTTAATGATGTGCTTTAGTTCTATGAGTTTATTGGGAGGAAGAAAATCTCGAGGATCTTCACGCATCCACGTTACAACCTTGCAGATTAATGAACTTCGGAGAAACGTCGTTTTGCAAATAACGCAATCCATTCGCATTCATATTTTATTTCCTTTTGTCGTTGTTGTTATTGTTGTTGCGATGGTTTTTCATTTCGGAATCATTTGCAGATTTAACTTGGCTGGAGTAGATTGACGATGTAATGTGAGGAATTAAATGTATTTGGTTGTGTTTCGATTGTTCCCATTACATTTTTGCATCTAAAACTAGACAGACGGAGATATGTTAATTATTGACACTGAGACCTCAAAAATCTACGGTTGGTTTTGACAATTCGCGCCCGATCACAAACAGATCTGTCGATGCAGTTTGCATATGCATCGACACCACTTATTACATAATTAAATACAAACAAACAAACAAACAAACAAACAAACAAAATCAGAATATGAAAATACTAATATAAATGCCAATTACAATGCAGATACAGACAGATAAACAAGATAAACAGGACATACACATGAATACTTGCTAAATGCCAATTGATTAACTCTAATAGTTATAATTAAATATAATCGAGTTGAATTTTTTGAATTGTCGAAGACAATTCCCGATGCGTCGCGTCTCAGCGACTGCCGCAGATGAGTTCAGAAAAGGCCCTCTAGTTCTGAGGGTCCCGGAGGAATTACAATGCTTTCTGGATGAGACTGTTACTAAAAAAAAAGCTAAATAAGGAAAAGTAATTTTTGAGGTCGATCCAAGCAGATTCAGTTCCCCACAGTCCGATGGGGAAAATCGTAGCGTAGTGACTCCCCATCCACGTTTCTTCACCAACCCCATCCCCAAAATACATATACACACACACCACATACATAAATAAATACAGGAATAAGGTATATACAGTAATCTTCCCCCCGAGCATAAACAAGATATAACCCCCTTTTTAAGCAATCTCCCAAACTGAAACGAAACTTAGGTAGGAACCAACTCATCCCTCCCCCACCCCTCATTTTTATATATATATATTATATATATATATAACGTAAACTACATAATATATATATATTGGGTATATTTCGATTCGTTATTTATTTCCTGAGTTCGGGTATGATTTTTCCGTTTTAATTCCTCGACGAATCTTTTTTCAAGAGATTTTTGAAGATCGTATATGGTTTACGTTCCGTTGTCCTTGGTTCATATTCATATCGAGAGAGAGAAACTTTTGGCCGTTTTCATAAGAATTTCTTTGTGCTTTTCGTTTGCGAAATGTTTGGTTTCATATGCACACACATTCGGATCAACATTGCCAGCCAGCGCCCAGGATACAAAAAAAACAAAACAAATGAGTATTAACAGAACAACAAGCAAACCACAATCGGAAAACGCCACTCTTCCTCATCTTCCGCTTCCCCACTTGACTCTTCATCTTTCATTTAAATTGAAAGCTAGAAGATCTCGAGACGCAGGCGGAACGAGAAAAAGTCGCGTTTTCTGTCGCGGATATTTTGAGTTAACACAGCAAAAGTAAGATACAGAGAATTTAAAAAAAAAAACTGTTCGGATTAAAAAAAAAATAATAACGTCAACACATGTTTAGGTCACCGGTTCAAAAACAAAAAAAAAAAGAGAAAAATATAACCAAAAATGATTATAATTAAAGGGAAAAAAAGCGAAAAAGCGAGAAAAAAAAAGTGAAATGGATAAAAAAATGTGTGAAAGTTTGATGATGATAAAAATTAAAATATCACGAAAAAAGTACAAGCTTATTTTAAGCACCTCTGCGCCTTAAAAATTTAAAAAATAAAAAATTCGAAGCAAAAAAAATGATGAAGAGATGATAAGTGAAGATAAATGAAGATGATAAAAAAAAAGATGATATGAGTGTGTATAACCAAAATCTGCCTTATTCTATTTTCTTATGACGAAAAAAAATCTCCTACCGTTATAGCGCAATTATTTGCTAGTGTATATCGTTCTTGAATCACCTAAAAAAATACAAAAAAAAAAAATTAAAATAACAAAAAAAAAGTATTAAAAATAATAAGTAAATAAGAATAAAAAAAAAAACACCGATGATTTTTAACCATTTCCATTAACAAATTAATTATCAACTAATCTAGTCCAATATGTAATACATAGCATTTTGTGTGAGTTGTAGTATACATGTACAATTGTTGGTAAAATAATAATAATAATACTATTAATAATAATACTAATAATATGTGAAGCAGATGACACGGAAGTGGGAGTACGGAGATATTATCGACAGGAAAAGGGAAAAGGAAATTGATCTCGCGCTGGGCGCCTCCGTTTCATTAAGCCCTCAGTTCGCAAACTACAAGCTATGATTTTGTAACCTTCTCAAACAAACTACCAGCACCAACCAACTTTAATACAGCACGGTCAGAAGAATCGTATGAATTGCACGGATTCAAAGACTTATCAGTTTACACGCAGAACTCATATCTTTACTTTCCGTTTGTTTTTGATTCATTACAAGCGTAATAATGCAATAGAATCGACAATGCATTGTTGTCACAATGATGATCATTATGCTCTTCATGATGATGATGATGATGATGATAACCAATAAACAATGTTTGTTTACGATCGGGGCTTGGCCGCTGGGACGTTCTCAATCTCGAAATAGTCACGCGTCAAAAAAGCCATACTCGAAAACTGAAACAATAGTAAATGAAGGCAACCAAAACCCAAAATTCAGCAATAGCTAAAGCGAATCCACACGTTTTTTCGGAAGGAAATGCAGTTTTTCTCAAACAATAGTTCGGAGACCACGGAAAAAAATAAACTTGTCCGTCGCAAAACCGCGTCGCGCATCTTTCCCGAACTGCGAAAAGAAAATTAACAGAAACACAGTCAAAATAGATATGTTCATTTGCAATAAAAAAAAAATAACAGGTTTTAATTTGTTCACACACAACATCAAATAATTAAATAATATCAATTAAAAACAAATTTCAAAAACAACGACTGTATTAAAAATATTTGGTAATTATTTTTGACTTTGTGATTTTAAAATTCCCGCGTTTCTCATCTGGAAACGGCGCAATTTGCAAAAGATGTCGCGACGCTGTTCTGAGGCGGAGATCAAAATTCTCACAAATTTATTGAAAAAAAAAAAAACACTTCACTGGGCCAATTCGTCCGTCAAAAAAGTGCCTTCAACGTTGTTTTTACGAAAAAAAAAAAATGAAAAAAAAAATTATTAAGAAAGAATTTTTAATATTTAAAATAAAAAAAATTAAAAGGGCCCTAAATAGACACAAGCCCAAAACCAAAAACGCCCCCGCGGCTGCGCCCCGTCGACTGTACTTAAACTGAGTTCACTTTGAAGGGACGCCCGATGACGAGATCTGAAGACCGGAAGTCGTGTCCGATGTTCCTCCCGTTCGCGCAACGTGATACCGTCGACCAACCCCCCCAATCCACCCGCAGAGAAACGGGAGGCGGTGTTCGTGCGTTACGGGGTGCGTTCGGAGATGGCTTCGGGTTGGAATTTTCTTTCCCCTTTTCGCTCGAGAAAATGATGAAGGTGAAGAAAAAAAAAATTATATATATATATATATATATAA